TTGGCTTGATTGTTAGATGTATGGTAGGGGTATGCTCTGTTATGAACTCACGATGCTATGATTATCTCACTCAGCTATGAGTTGACCCTCTTTTATTCTTCTTCTCTGCTTATGCTATGTCTAAGCAGATAATCAGCAACAACAATAGATAAGTGTTAGGTGGGAGAGGAGCTAGAGTTGAAGCCAAGATGAGGTATGGTCTTCAACTATTCTGTGCTTGGACGACTACTTGGGATTTTGGCCAGTGATCCACACCTTTTTGTAAAAATGTTTTGAGAATGTTTTTCATGTGCATACTAGCTTCTGATGTAGTGTGAGATATCCACAGGTGTGGAAAGTTGATTATATGTGTATATTTGTGTAAGTTGTGATAATTATGACATGTATATGTATGGTATGCAGTTGTGGTATGAAAACGGTGACTATGGCTATGAAAGCCAATGTATATGGTTGTGAGTATATATGTATGTCTATGAATACATATATTCGTAATTATTTTGCAGGTCTAGTTGCAAGAACTGTTAGCCCATTGCGCGAATAGTTCATGTCGAAATTTTATTTTGGGTCAATTTTGGTAATTAATGTAACACCGAAGATTATTTCCGCTGCAATAGTACGAACAATATGATTAGGTAATACGTACAGAATAGGGTGTTAAATATTTTATGTGGTATTTATGTGGTAATTGGCCTCAAACCACAAGTTTATCAAATACTCAATCCAAACGACCCCAACATCAATTGAGAGTAAGTCAAAGGCAGCTGCAAACCATCTATCTCCAGGAGATGTATATAGCATAACCAAAGTTCAAGAAAATACTAGGTATAAGGCGGGTGTTAAACTCCTACCTAACATCTAGACTGCTTAAGCGGCAACAACTTCATTACAACATTCACAACAAGCTAAAGTCAGAAGACAATGAATTTGGTTTCTAATAGTGTAGCAAACAACTAACCAAGCCACTTGGTAAAAGGAAAATGATATTAGGAGAATAATGGTCCACTAGGCCATATGAAGCTTCGTTTCATCAATTCCAATTACCCTATAAAAAAAAAAAATCAATTCCAATTACAGTCCACAAACGATATATATATTATTATCAAAATCTATCCCTCTTCCAAGACCTAGAGTCACGACAAGAAGTAAAGAAACCAATGAGCACAAACAACTAATTCAAGCGGCACGTGGGGCTGAGGTTCCCTGGGTTATCAAAAAAAAAAAAAAAAAAAAAAAAAAAAAAAAAAAAACTAATTCAAGAGAAATAATAAAATGATGGAATTACAGAGTTGGTCGACGAGATGCAGAGGCGGCCGGTGGGGATGGATAGTCTCCAGACTAATTCAATGGAAAATACTCGATTGGGATAATCGAGGGAAACGCTTCCATCGACGCTTATGGGCAAAGAAAATAACCACACGAAACCCGAACAGAATCAGAGAACTAGAGTTATGGACCGAATTACCTTAGATTGAAATCGAAATGCATAAAAGTACGAACCCATGAATCCTTTTCACAATCGATACACACTGAATTGCTCAAAGAAAGCCACCAGTCAGTTTTATATTGGTGATTTCATCATTTTTTAATATTTTATTATTGATTTACTTAACATAATTTAATATTAAGAAAAAAGGAAGGTGAATCCACCAATAACAAACTGACACCTTGAATGGTTGGAACTTTTGCGTCCAACCAAGGTTGGAGCTAAGAATTTTCCGATAGATGGGTGGATAGTGGAGATCTTCTTTTCGACATGCACGCAAGGAGAACCCGCATGTTGATCCATGTTCTTGTGGCATCTTTCACCACGACTGAAGGTTAGCGGGATATCCCTGCGTTGCATGAGGTCTTAAAATGAATTTTATTTTGTAGGTTGTTGGAATTCAACCTCCACAGGCCGATAGGATAGGGCGACTTGGGGCTTAGAGCGTGACGGCAGTTTTGAGTTCGGTCGTTGTACGAGCTAGTTGTTGATGCGGATGTAGAGGACTCTGAGGTGAACTGGCGGACTTTGTGGAGGTGGCGAGGACCAGCCATGATTAGCCACTTCTTATTGTTGGCCTACCAGGTGCACCTCCTAATGAACGCGGAGCGCCCAAAGAGACACATCTCAACTTCATCTCTCTGCACGTACTATCATCAAGGATCAGAAACAATCCTGCATGTGTTGCATGATTGCACATTTGGATGGTTAACTTGAACGCGGCTTATTCAACCTTTTGAATACCAAAACTTCTTCAGAATGCAGTTATAGGATGGGATCCAGAGCCAGTTGAAGGATCCACACACCAACTTTAATTTTGGAGCCATTTGTTGGTCCCTTCGGAGGAATTGGAATGATTGTATCTTTGCAAACAAGATCATCTCAACTAAAGTTTTTCTACTGCGCACACAGAATGGATTCAAATTTTGCGGAATGCCTTGGATTTAAGGATCAACGTGTCCACATGTAGACTCCGCCCTTGAGAACAGAGGCGTTGATCTCATGGGTCACTCTCAACTTTGACGGCTCAACCCATCCTTCTTCAGGCCATGTCTTAGCTGGTGGTTTGATTTGAGATCATTTAGGACGTTGTTTATCAGAGTTTGTCCTAACGCTTGGTGTGTGTTCCATTACCCGAGCGGAGTTGAGAGGCACATTAGAGGGGTTGTAGTTGGCTTGGGACCTGAGGTACTGTCGTATCCAGGTCCAAATGAACTCCAAGTGTGCAGTTCACCTTCTTCTTCGAGAGGATGGTGATGTCCATCGTCACTTAGCATTGGTCAGTCGTTTCCAGGCCCTCCTGAGCCAAGACTGGCAAGTGATCGTTTCCCATATTTACAGAGAGGAAAACAAGTGTCCTAATTACATTGCTAGCCGAAGACATTTCATGTCCCTTGGTTTACATGTTTTCCTATTTCCAATCCTACTTTGTTTAACTGGATTATGCATGCATTCAGAAGATTTCGGAACCCATCTTGATTATGAATGATGGTTAGAACGCACTGCGTTTATTTAGAGAGAAAAAATCGAAGTATCAACGGTAAATAAATTGAATTGACTTTCTAAAAAAAATTGTATTTGTTGTTGAAAAAAGTGGATATAAATGTTAGCAAAGGAAAAAGGTTAAAAGTATGCAGCATGATAACACTTCCTACGCCAGGTAATAAAAATAGATGGTGTGGCTAGCTTTGCATCTTTAAGAGTATTTCATGCAACCTTTTAAAAATGAGATTGTATTTTTATTTTTTTTTTTTAACAAAACCATAGTTCATTAGTTTGTATTAAACAAGAAACAAGAATTAGGTAGCATGATAAAACTTCTCTCTTGTTGGATCCTCTGCCACCTAAACTAGTCTCGCTTCCCTCCACAGAGCTACAACCATTGCGCATTCCACGAAAAGGTGCTCCAAAGTTTCCCCATCCGCCCAACAGACGGTACAACGAGCTAATATAGGTATGTCCCGTCGACAAAGCGCCTCCATCATTGAAACTATCCTATTTAACATTTGCCACATGAAAAACCTCAACTTAGATTTCACATGAAAAGCCGAAACCTTCTTCTAAAGTCTAGCATCACCAAGACTTGGTTCATATCTCCATCTGGTCAATTTACGATCCAACATATCTGCCAACCGGTACCCTAATTTCACCATGTACTTCCCATAGGCCTCCTTCACCCAAATTATTGTGTCCATCGCATGGCACGAGGTAGCGAGATCCCAGCACGTTCTTGTTAATTGATGGTCGAGCGCGAGACCAGTTCTTCTTTTGGGAATCAGACCCAGAACCTGCAAAACCCTAATCGGCAATTTGATCGAGCAAGTGAAGAATCAGTCTGTTCGTGTTTCCCTTTTCTTTATTTTGATTAAACAACAACGAAAAGTTTAATGTGATAAAATACGTAAAATGAATTGTCGTTTATCTGAGGTGGTACTGGGCTTCGGCCCAGAACCTTATTCTGATAGAGTTGAAGTTAGGCCCACTTTCACTTGTTCAGCCCGCTTTAACCTTCTTCTTCCTCTGATCCGCCAGAGGTGATTCACTGAGACGAGGCTTCTCTGTACCTGATCAATTCTCACAGAAGCAGAGTACCAAACTTTGCACGAATCAGAAAACACACACACTTCACAAATATTTTACGTGGTATATGATATTGGGAGAAGAATAATCCCAATATCGACTAATCCATGGTAGGAATCTCTCCTCTTGAGGATTCCTACGTAACCACTAGAACACTATTCATGTTCCTGTTTTTACATACTTCAAGTTTGGATTGAACAGCTCCCTGCCTATCAATCAAATGATTCTACTGAAGCACAATCTCCCTGATTACCCTCAGTACTAACAGCTATTCTCCCTGATTAGCTTCTCTGGTTTTTTTTCACTCAAAAAGCAATTCACTTCGTAACACAGCACTCTGCTTTTTGAATCTGCTCAAAAACCTTACAGAAGCCAGTTGATTTCTTTCGTCTTTTTTATTGGTTCTCTTCGAGCTAGCCGTTGCAAGGTATTGATTTTGATTTCCCACAAATCTGCTTCAGCTTTCCATTCTTGAAACCTTCCATTTCGGTCTTGATTGATTTCTTGATTCGTTCCCATTGACGAGCTTCACTCAACATGCTCCCCCTAAGCTTGTTAATGGCTCTCCCTGCTGCGCATGACTCTTTCCTGCACACACTCATCAAACAATTGGTGCAGCCTGTTCTATGTATGGTGCAAACATTCATGGCAGGGGAAGCTCCTTTTATTTGAATTACTTGAATTTTATCCATGATACAACTTCCAATTTCACATCAACAAACAAGCAAAGAGAATGCATACTCAATATAATCATTAACGCAACGACCGACTCAACACAACAAGACTTCCTTAGCTAGACACCTGAAGCTCCCCCTAAGCAAGATCATCCGCCTCCTAGAAGCGATAACCAAGAGGTGACTCATAGTCTGAAATCTCATCTTCAGAGCTAGAGTCAGATGAGATTGGATCAAAATCATCCAGATCAGGCTTTGCCTCATCAAAATCCATTAGCTCTAGTCGCTCTTTGCAAACCAGCAGGTTTGTCGGCTTTCCACTGGCAGTTTGCTTTCGACGCTTGACTTCCCCATCTATGGCTGAGACTGCAACTTGAGCCAGAGACGAACTTACGACGGCCCACATCAGCATCAAGGCGGACAAGGACATGATTGGGACGCAAGTCATCATGGACGTTGCAAACAACCACCTTATCCCGGAGATCTATGCCAAGGCGATGAAAGTAGCGAGTGATTAGGGGTCCAAAGGGTAGAGCACCACTATAACCTCCGCCACCAAATTTGAGTATATGAGCGAACATCAAGGATGCATAACTGATGGGTTGATGCGCACAAGAATTACTCAGAATCCAGAGATCGTCGGAGTGGAGAAGACCAGCACTATCAATGTCTCTGGGAAGGAAGCATCGGGTGATAAAAAAATAAAGAACCTTTAGATCGTCAGGAAGTCGACCAGCTGAGAGTCGATTGGGGAAGGCCTTGCCAATATCGCGGGTCAGGCGATCAAGAGCAGCACAGAAGTCGAACCCATGTTCAACAAAGTCACTCTCGTAACTGGCATGAATCCCTGAGTGGGGAAGAGAGAGGACCGATGCAAGTAAGGCAGGAGTGACAATGATTTCATGGTCGTAAACCATGGTTGTGAAGGATTGTGGCTCAGGTCCATGATCACGACGAATGTTCACGTAGAATAGCCTTACTGCTTCAGGACAATGGAGAAAGCGTTGATCCTCGGTCAACGACTCCCACCCTAATCCAACAACCAGAGAGGGAATATCCATGTCGTATTTGGAGAAGGTTGAAGGAGAGATAGTGAATGAGGTATAGATAGGCCTATCACAAAAGCAGCGAAGATACCTAGAGTAAACAATGGCGTTGCGAAAACCCTGATTTTTGAAGACAACGACAGGTCGAAGCTGAGCGTTGTGGAAGGCCATTGTTTTGGAAATTTAGTTTGTAGTGAGTGTTTGCAAGGATGAAGAAGGATGACAGTGATGCCCTAGATATATAAGGATGTAGGAGAGGCAAAAGGGGCAAGTGGATTACTCACGTTAATGTGCCAGCAAATGATTGCTGATTAATCGTGACAGAGAGAGATTGAGAGTTCTGGGGAAAGAATTGAGAGAAAATCGAGGAGTCACAGAATCCTAAGGGATCTCTCCTATTTCTTCTAGGGTAAACATTCCTAGCTCTCGACGAATGAGTAGAAATTTATCAACAGGCAGTGGTTTGGTAAAAATATCTGCCCATTGTGAGTCTGTCCCTACGAATTCTAAGTGAATTTTTCCTTCTTGAACCAAATCTCGTATAAATTGATAACGGACCTCTATATGTTTAGTACGAGAATGTTGGATTGGGTTTTTGGTCATGTTAATCGCACTTGTGTTGTCACACAAGATGGGAAGAGAACCTAGTGGAAGACCATAGTCCTCAAGTTGGTATTTCATCTAGAGAACTTGAGTACAGCAAAATCCCGCAGCGATATACTCAGCTTCAGCTGTGGATAATGCTACGGAACTTTGTTTCGTACTAAACCAAGAGACAAGTGAGGAACCTAAGAAATGACAGGCACCAGAGGTGCTTTTCCTGTCAATGACACATCCTGCATAATATGAGTCACTATAGATGATCAAGTTTAAGCTTAAGGAGCTAGAGTACCAGATCCCAAGAGTAGGAGTCCCAACCAGATAACGAAAGATCCGTTTAATGGCAGAGAGATGGCTATCCTTAGGATTGCTCTGAAAACGAGCACATACACAGACACTATACATAATATCAGGACGACTAGCAGTGAGATACAAGAGTGATCCAATCATTCCACGAAACTTTTTACAATCTACTGAGTTTCCAGTTTCATCTTGTGTAAGTTTGACATTTGATCCCATAGGTGTAGAGGCAGATTTTAAGTTTCCGAGCTCAAATCATTTCAACATATTCTGTAAGTATTTGGTTTGGCTTAAGAAGATTCCCTGACTTGTTTGCTTGACTTGTAGTCCAAGAAAATAAGTTAGTTCTCCATAAGGCTCATTTCAAAGGCAGTTTTCATATCATTTTCAAATTCTGAGCATAATATTTGGCTGGTGGAGCCAAATATTATGTCATCAACGTATATGACACGCCAAAACACAACACCAAACTGCGACCAAGTGTAATCGCAGTCCGGGAATGCAGTAACAGGCAAGTTCAATTATCAACCCGGGGTCTAGATCTACTGCTTACTCCACGATTCTCTATTATCTAGCAAACTAGTTCGAGTGATTGTTGTGAAAAGTAAAAGCAACAAGAAAGCAGTAAATTGTTCGGTTTCTAAAGAAGGCAAGAGTCACTCGGGATTGAGTCCCCCTAGCCCCTTAGTTAGGTTCAATTGCAATTCCCTGGGTTGATTTACTGTTGATTAGACTGCGGAAGATCCGACAGTAGCTTGGAATCTCTTAAGCTGACCAAGCCCTCTCAGTCTAACTACCCGGCAGACGACTAGTCTTCACCGGGATAGAAAGCTGAGGCTATGAACACAGAAATCCACTACTGGCGCCAAGAACACCAGTACAAAGCAGTAAACTGGCTAACTCTCGTATAGCCAATCTCCTACTATCGAATGAAGAGGCTCTAACAACCTAATCAGATTCTATCTATCTCAGATTGCAGCAGAAATTGAGAAAAGCTGATCAGACTCAAATCAATTCATTAAACATGCGTCATTCGATTAAAATCAAACAGTAATATCACCCCAAGTCATTACAATCAAATCCCTAACACAAGGAACTAGGGTTCTTCATACCCAAGTGAGAGAAGGGTTCTACTTCATAGAGAGAGAAGAGAAAACAAGAATCGGATTAGTCATACTCATAACGATGAGGATAATCTGCTCCGGGACGATGATTTCCACTCCTATGACAATCTCCAAGCTCGATTCGATGAAATCCAGCTCTAAGACAGCTTCTAGGGTGTGTTCTTCGTACTTTCTCTCTCTAGGGCTCTGTTTTTGCTCTGAAAACACGATTCTCCCACTTTTGGCTCGGAATAGGCTCTAAAACCAGGAATTCCCGACTCGCACGGCCAGGGTGCACGGCCGTGCAGATCACCCACTTGGCCGTGCACTCCAAAACGCGGCTTATCAATTAGTTCGACCTCAGGCTTCTCGCACGGCCAGGGTGCACGGCCGTGCAATCTTCAGGGTCTGCCCGTGCATGGCCTCGGCATAAAGCGCACGACCATATTGCTCACGTGCACGACCGTGCGTCTCCCTGGTCTGCCCGTGCAGCTCCCCAAAAACCTCGCCATTCGTCCGTTCTTCGTCTAATCGACCCCAGACTCGCTCCTAAGCCTTCATTCACGTACTAGGACCTGAAATATCACAAACAAGCACAACCTAGCGTGAAATCGGCCTAAAACACGAGAATCAACACCTCAAACGGTGTAAGAACGGGGGTAAAAACATGTGTAAATGACGGTCTATCAGTATACTTAAACTAGAAGAGTGTGTTCATTTTCATTTTTAATGAACAAGGTTTTGTCAACTTGTCCACGATGAAAACCCTTTTCAATTAAAAATTTGCCGAGTTTTTCATACCAGGCTCTAGGAGCCTGCTTAAGTCCATACAGTGCCTTGTTAAGTTTAAAACATGATCAGGGTATTGAGAGTTCTCAAACCCAGAGGTTGAGAAACATACACTTCCTCCTTTATTTCCCCATTCAAAAAGACACTTTTAACGTCAATTTGGTAGAATTTAAAGCCTCGAGAGGCTGCATATGCACATAACAGACGTATGGCTTCTAGCCTAGCCACAGGAGTGAAGGTTTCGTCAAAATCGATCCCTTCTTCCTGACAATAGCCTTGAGCTACTAACCTGGGTTTATTTCTAATTATAACCCCTAGTTCATCAGTTTTATTTCGAAAAACCCACTTAGTTCCGATAATTATTCTATCCTTAGGCCTAGGAACTAAGTCCCACACATGAGTTTTAGCAAACTGATTCATTTCGTCATGCATTGCTGCTGACCAGTATTCATCTTTTATAGCCTCCTCAATATTTTTAGGTTCAAACTGAGCTACAAATGCAGTATGATCTGTGTGAGATTTGGATCGAGTAATCATACCTCTACTCAGACCACCAATCATAAGAGATGGAGGGTGACGTCGTACGATGTGAGGTGGAGCCTGAGGGTTGTGATCCTTTTCATCTTCATCGTTGTTGTCCACTGGTGGCACAGCTTCTGCTTCTTGACCATTTTGAGCATTTTGACTCGTGTGAACTGTTCCTAATCCCAGATCATCATCTTCATCAATGCTATCTGCACACTTACTACAAGCCTCATCAAATATCACGTGAACGGACTCCTCAACTTTGAGGGTCCGTATATTAAAAATGCAGTATGCCCTACTGTTTACAGCATACCCCAGAAATATTGATTCATCTGATTTTGAATCAAATTTCCCCATATGATCTTTTGTATTCAGTGGAAAACATTTGCAACCAAAGGGGTGAAAATAGCTTAGATTTGGTTTTCTATCCTTCCAAAGTTCATAGGGTGTTTTATTGATTTTAGATCTGATAAGAGCTCTGTTTGTTACATAACATGCTGTGTTAATAGCTTCCCCCAGAATTGTTTAGAAGTTCCATAATCATTCAACATGGTCCTAGCAATGTCAATCAAGGCCCTGTTCTTCCTCTCTACCACACCGTTCTGTTGAGGAGTCCTAGGTGCTGAAAAGTTGTGGATTATTCCCTTCTTATTACAGAAAAGTTCAAAATTTTTAGATATGAACTCACCTCCATGATCACTTCTTATGCTCCCTATTTTGGATTGTTTTTCATTTTCAACTCGTTTAACGAAATCTTTGAAATTTTGATAAGCTTCATCCTTTGTGGTTAGAAACAATACCCAGGTAAACCTTGAGTAATCATCTACTATCACAAAAGCATAGTACTTACCACCTAGACTCATGATATTGCTAGGTCCAAAAAGATCTAAATGTAGTAATTCTAGAGGTCTAGAAGTGGAGATTACTGTTTTGGTTTTAAAGGAGCTTCTACTGTGTTTTCCCTTTGCACAAGCATCACAGAAGAAATCCTTTTTACTTTGAAGTTTTGGAATCCCTCTGACAATATCTAAATTTACCAATCTTGACAGAATCCCAATAATTACATGTCCTAACCTTCTATGCCATTCAAATTGATCATCCTTGTTAACCGAAACTAGACAAGTTTCATTAAAAGCAGATTTATCTTCAAGATCTATTGTAAGCAATTTTCCTTTACGTTTTCCTGTTAAAATAAGTTTGTGACTTACTGTGTTTTCAACAAAGCATTGGTCTTTTTCAAAGACAATTCTGTTTTCTTTTCCACATAACTGACCAATTGACAAGAGATTATGTTTTAGATCTTTAACCAGCAACACATTACCGATTGATGGAATGGTTCCTACTGTACCCTTCCCTAGGATTTCTGTGCTAAAATTGTCACCAAAAAAGACTTTTCCTTTGTTTTCTAGAGTTAGTTTTGAAAAGAGGTTTTTATTACCTGTCATGTGGTGTGAGCATCCACTATCTAGTATCCAAACACTGCCTTCCATGCTCACTTGGAGACAGGTCTGCAAGAATATATACAATCACTTAGTTTTGGGTATCCAAACTAGTTTAGATACTCTTCTGATTTGAGCTGAGTTTATTGTATGTTGGTTGTAATCTGAGTTTTCATGCCAAGACTATTTCATTCTGTTTTCCTTAGTTATCCTTCTTCTACAGTTAGCTATGTAATGACCAGTTTTGTGACAATAGAAACACTCGTGATTTTTATGAGTTTCTGATCTTCTCACATATTCAGTTTTTACCTTAGCTCTTATTTTTATCTTTTCTAACTCAGCTCTAGCAACTTTTATTTGCTCTGTTAACCTACAGTTATCTTATCTTGCATAAGCTCTTGAACTCTGTTTTCGACACTTAGTTTTTCACTCATTAGTTTTTCAAATTCATTTTGCAGCTTATCATGATTTACTTTGATCGAAAGATACTTATTTTTTACATTCACACATTCATTCTGAATATCCCTAATGGTTTCATCTAGTAATTCATCATCGTCACTATCAGAGTCAGAGTAGTAGGTTGTTACCTGAGAATTTTCTCCTTCGCAGTCATCAATCGCCATGTAAGCACTGTACTTGTGATTGACTTCATCCTCTTCTTCTTCGCTGCAGCTCCAGGTGGCTGCAAATGCCTTCTCTTTCTTGGCTAGTGGGCACTCAGCTTTGATGTGTCCTGGTTTGCCGCATCTGAAGCATCCAGCTTGAGTCTGGATCCTTTCATTGCTTAGTCCTTCTTTTCGACTCCTGAATCCTTGTCTTCCTCCTTTGTTACTTTCCTTTTCAATTTCACCATCTCTCGATCGGTTTGAGAATCCTCCTCTCTTCTTTTCTCTTCTAATCTTGAGTAGTTTAGCAACGTGCTTGCTCAGCATTGCAAGCTCATCATCTTCCATCTCGTCCAGGCAGTCCAGATCATCTTCTTGAGTTGTGGCCTTGAAGGCTATGCTCTTCTTTTCTTTCATTGGCTCTTCCAGGTCTTCTCTTTTCAGCTTGTCTTCATGTGTGATGAGAGACCCGATTAATTCATCCAAGCTTACCTTGGTGAGGTCTTTAGATTCCTCAATCGCGGTGACCTTAGGAGTCCATTTCTTGGGGAGAGCCTAGAGTACCTTTCGTACCAGGTCTGCACTGGCGTATTCCACTTCCAAGTTTCTCAAGCTGTTGACTATTGTTGTGAAGCGGTCATTCATTTCCTTAATCGACTCGTCTGGCTTCATAATGAATGATTCGAACTCTTGCTTGAGACTGTTGATTCTTGAAACTTTGACATGAGAAGTACCTTCATGTGCAATCTGCAACTTATCCCAGATTTCTTTTGCAGATTTGCAGCCAGTCACTCTGCGGTACTCTTCTGGTCCCAACGCACAATACATTAGATTTGTTGTCTTCGAGTTAAGCTGGAAGTTCCTCTTGTCGGTCTCTGTCCATTTTCCACGAGCCTCCTTCACTTCCAAGGGACCATCTAAAACGATGTTCCAGAAGTCTGGATCAGTTGATCCTATGAAAAGCTCCATTCGATTTCTCCAGTATCCGTAGTGCACACCTTCGAACCTGGGAGGACGAGTTTGTGAAAATCCATCTGCCATGAAGATTCCGTTGGCTGATCTCGAGCTCATCTTCTCTGAAGACGGTTGCGCCTTGTATCCCGGAGCCGGGCTCTGATACCACGTGTTAATTGATGGTCGAGCGCGAGACCAGTTCTTCTTTTGGGAATCAGACGCAGAACCTGCAAAACCCTAATCGGCAATTTGATCGAGCAAGTGAAGAATCAGTCTGTTCGTGTTTCCCTTTTCTTTATTTTGATTAAACAACAACGAAAAGTTTAAGTGATAAAATACGTAAAATGAATTGTCGTTTATCTGAGGTGGTACTGGGCTTCGGCCCAGAACCTTATTCTGATAGAGTTGAAGTTAGGCCCACTTTCACTTGTTCAGCCCGCTTTACCTTCTTCTTCCTCTGATCCGCCTGAGGTGATTCACTGAGATGAGGCTTCTCTGTACCTGATCAATTCTCACAGAAGCATAGTACCAAACTTGGCACGAATCAGAAAACACACACACTGCACGAATCTTTTACGTGGTATCCGATATTGGGAGAAGAAGAATCCCAATATCGACTAATCCACGGTAGGAATCTCTCCTCTTGAGAATTCCTACGTAACCACTAGAACACTATTCTTGTTCCTGTTTTTACAAACTTCAAGTTTGGATTGAACAGCTCCCTGCCTATCAATCAAACGATTCTACTGAAGCACAATCTCCCTGATTACCCTCAGTACTAACAGCTATTCTCCCTGATTAGCTTCTCTGGGTTTTTTTTCACTCAAAAAGCAATTCACTTCGTAACACATCACTCTGCTTTTTGAATCTGCTCAAAAACCTTACATAAGCCAGTTGATTTCTTTCGTCCTTTTTATTGCTTCTCTTCGAGCTAGCCGTTGCAAGGTATTGATTTTGATTTCCCACAAATCTGCTTCAGCTTTCCATTCTTGAAACCTTCCATTTCGGTCTTGATTGATTTGTTGATTCTTTCCCATTGACGAGCTTCACTCAACAGTTCTTTTGGCAAAGTTAATTCGCAGACAGTGTTCGCACCATCTCCCATGTCATCAATGAGATTGTCTTGTTGATCAATGTTATTGCATAAGCGTGTCAGATATCCAATTCTACATGAAATCCCCATTGTGCCCTAAGCTGATTGAGTTAGTGTGCTGCCTCTGTTGGAACTTGGAAACCAACTCCGTCTGGAAACTGGAAACTAAGGGGTAGTTTGGATGAGGAATTGTAACGGATCAATTTGACACAATTGTCTCGGTTTGAGACAATTGAACCAAATTGTCTCGTTTGCTAGCAAAAAATTTGGATGGATCAATCTGCCTGAGGTATTTTGAATTGATATGTTTTGAGTCAATTTCAATTACCTGGGGTGGGTGCAGGTAATTCGAATTGCCTCGTTTTAATTGCCTCATTTATAAAACGAGTCAATTGATCAAATTGACTTATTTCTAGATCGATCCAAATAACTCAAAAGATTACTAGGAAGCTAGTAGTTCTTTTTTTTTTTTTTTTGTGAACGTACGTAGGTTTCTCTCTTAGATTCCCCGAGCCGGCTTCCAAATCCGGCGGACACAAAAAGGAATACGCACAAAACAGAATCCACTCAGTAGCCGAACGGTGAATAAACAAATCCCTACATTCTTGTACGCCTCAACGAGCCTGATCAAACGGAGGCGATTTTAAAGTAAACTAACCTATCAGTTCGCCACTCGTTTAGAGACGCAAGTATATTAGAAACTTGGAACATTGCGACCTCCCGCCACAAAATAACGAACAATGGATGAGGTTTGGTAGTTTTTAGCCGATCGAATAATAGCAAATTCAACATGATTCCACCCTACAATTTTTAATCCTATATTTCTTCTGTTAGAACTTCCGTCGGTAATTAACTAAAGGCCTCTGTTAGCTAGCCATTGTCGTCAACGGAAGAAAGAATCAGAGATCTGCACTTCACAGCTGCAACAACAACAACAAAAAGTGAAAGAGTCTCACGACACGACTCTTCTAGGTCTATATATTAATGTTATTCCACTCGCAAGAACGAAACAATATTCCATCCATATCCAGAAACGTAACCCTTCCATTTTTTCTTTCTTTGTTAGAGATGGAAAATCATGACATTTTCGCTCTTGCAAGATCAAATTCATTAGGCGGCGGAGCTCCGAACGTAGAAGATCAAGATGAGCTGCCGATGATTTTTCCTGGCGCAATCGGAGAGCTCTCTTTCCCGCCTTCCGCCACCTCCTTTCCTCATCAGGATGCGCCCCACCTGGCGCCAGCTGGTGCCCTCGGTGGTAATTCGTCCTCGAATGATGCGCCATTGTCGGTCGAAGATCTGGTCAGGATCGCGGCGTCCAAGTTCGTGCGGTCCCGCTCTAACAATACGACGTCGTTCGACGTTCAGCTCTCCGAGGATGAATCCGAGAGCGTGGCGCTCGCCCAGCTCCTCCTGGAAGCCGCGGAGGAGGTGGGCGAGCGCAGATTCGACCCCTCGAGGACACTGCTCGATCAGTGTGACCGGCGGTCTTCTCCGACCGGGAACCCGGTCCAAAGACTAGTATTCTACTACTCCCAGGCTCTGCGCGACCGAATCGACCGGGAAACCGGGCGATCGACGTCACCGTCAGAGACGGTGACGGAGCGGTCGAGCGATCTTTACAAAGTCGTGATGATTCCGAGCATCCGGTCAATTGAGTTCCAGTCCAAGATCCCTTTCTCTCACGCCGCGCAGTTCGCGGGGATCCAGGCCATAGTAGAGCACCTGGACGGCACCAGGAAGATCCACATCCTCGATTTCGCGGTGAGGAACGGGCAGCAGTGGATCATCCTGATGCAGGCCCTGGCGTCGCGACCGAAACGACGTCGCGTCCGTCGCCTGAAGATAACCGCCGTGGCGACCCTGGGGCAGGAACAGATCGAGCGGACGGGGAGTAGGCTGGTGAGCTATGCGGAAAGCGTGGGTCTGCCCTGCAAATTCGACGTGGTGATGGTCTCGGACCTAGCCGAGCTACGCCGAGACCACATACAGGTTGAACCGGATGAAGCCGTGGCCGTGCTGGCCGAGTACGTGCTCCACACTATGACCGAACCCATGGACCGGCTCGACTCGTTGGTTCGAGTGATCCGGAGCTTCAACCCGTGCGTCATGGTGGTGGGGGAGGTGGAAGGGAACATGAACTCGCCGGTGTTCATAGACCGGTTCGTGGAATCGCTCTTCTTCACCAGCGCGTTCTTCGACTGCATGGAGGAATGCATGGGGAGAGATGAGGTGGTGAGGAAGTACGGGGAGGAGACGTTGTTTGGGGCGGCGAGCAAGATTGTTGTGGCGATCGAAGGGCGAGAGAGGATTATTAGGAACATGAAGGTGGATGTTTGGAGGACTTATTTCCAACGTTTCGGAATGTGGGAGGTGGAGCTCAGCCGATCGTCGCTGTACCAGGCGGAGCTTGTGACGAAGAGGCTGCCGAGTTGGGGTCCTTGTACGGTTGGGATGGATGGGAAGAGCTTGATCGTTGGATGGAAGGGTACGCCCATTAAATCAGTTACCGTTTGGAAGTTCTAGTCACTTGAGTGATGGATTGATGAATACCTATTCTACTTGTACGTTGAACTCTATAGCTAAACTAATACTTTTAGATTTATTCTTTTGCATAATTCCCGACGGAATGACATAACAGAAATTTATATAGCAAGCCAACCCTAATTGACTAAGGACAATAAAGTAATAAGATAAGGTAATTGCGTCTAGTCGTACTTGCATCAATCTCCTCCGCCTCAAATAACCTCGTTTTGAGGTTTAGTCGACAATCAAGTCATGAATCTTTCTAACATTAGAGTCCTGGTCCGTATAGAATAACTTGGATCCATCTACCCCAATATGGTTGAACCTAGAGGCTCAAACCAAGTTCCATGCAAACATGAAACGTGAGTCCTCGTATTTCTCAATAGCGACTGGACACAGATGGATGTGTACCCACAACAATGTTGATTGAAGCCTGGTAGGCCAATGAAGTTGAGCAAGTTGGCGCCAAAAGAAATAAAGTGAAAAATAGTTTGTTTTATTCTATGTTGTGTCGTTTTTGGACAAGTTTCACTTTGGTCCTTGAGCTCTGTTTCTTGTTAGTTAAGTCCTTCGAGTTTCAGGCTCGTAGAATCTTGGAGATGAAGTCTGTTGGTTAGGTGCAGATTAGTAGCTGGGTAGTTGAGTCATGTTAATTAGCTGAGTTTTAGGGGCAGAACGATAGTGTCACTTGGGTAAGCTTGGGTTGTAGGCTTAAGCACATTTAATTCTGTTTTGATATTCAATAACAAATCGTCAGTTGTCCTAAGTTTGCTATTATTGTGGCATCATAGCATTGGCTTACTTAGGGGTGGGCAACGGGAAATGGGTATCTAGGTATACCCATACCCGTCCCGTTTTTTGAGGGTTACGGGTACCCAAATACCCGTAATATTTTTTACGGGATGGGATTTGGGATGAAGAAATTCTATAATGGGTACCCATGGGTTACCCGTTAATACCCGGGTATTACGGGTACCCGTACTACCAAAATGCACGGATTACTGCAACACTAGTGCACAAGTCAATCAATATTATTAAACATAAAAACACATAAACGAATTTGATGATCCATATATAACTAAACTAACAACTGAAAGTCCAGCCGTTGTAGCATCCACAGCTTTGATCACCTTATGCCCTTAAACTTGTCCAATGTCTGTTTTCACCAAAACAACACACATGCACAGCAATTCAATCTGAAAACGAGCTCACTGTCATCATATATACATATACGTATTTAATTACTGGAACAAGTGTTTTCACATGCACAGAAATAATTATATTACCATTCGGCAGATGGCAAGTCTTGTCTTGTGATAGCTGAAACTTGCTACATATGCAAGAATTAATTGTAATTGATGCATCTTATAAATAAACACAAAGTCATTCATGTAATATTTATTTTGGTATTTTTCTTATCTTCGCATAAATTTTTAAAACTAAATTTTATGGGTACCCGAGGGTACCCGTTATCCGTCCCGTACGGGTAATGGGTACCCATTAAACCGTACGGGTTTGGAAATGGGATGGAGTTTCCTTCCAAATGGGACTGGTTACCCGTTTCAAACGGGACGGGTACCCAATCCCGTCCCGTTGCCCACCCCTAGGCTTACTATAACCACAGTGTTGTGAGTTAAAGAGTAAAGAGAGTTTGAGTGATCTGGGTTGGAAAACACGAGGGATTTTGTGCGAGTACATTCATAAGGGTGAGTGAAACATGATTATTGTGTGAATGTTGTGAAAGTGAGAAGAATGAGTGAAAATTTTGGCTTTCCTCACCTTTGTATTCCTCGCTTTGATAGTTCCTATGATCATTGGAGCTTGGTTATTGAAAACCTGCTCAGATATAAGGAATTCTAGGAGGTGGTTTCCACTGAAGTAGAAACTATAACAACTGAGGTGATGACAAATAAGAATGCAAAGAACTTCATGAGTTAAAGCTGAAGGATCTCAAGGTAAAAAATTATCTTTTTAGTTTTATTAAAAGACACTCCGAAATACTACAACTTAGAAGGCAACTACAAAAGAGCTTTAGGATTCCATAAAAATGAAATTTCAGGGCAATGCTAGTTAGGGTGAAAGGTGCTCAGCTGCAGACTTCGAGAAGAAGTTTTGAGGTGTTGGAAATGAAGACTGGAGAGAGTGTGAATCGATTATGTTGGTCGAGTGATGGTGGTAGCAAATGGCATGAGGAACTATGGAGAAGAAGTATCAGATGTGAAGATAGTAGAGAAGATTTTGAGGACAATCATTGAGAGATTCAACTATATCGTTTGCTCCATTAAGGAGTTGATAGACATAGATACTCTCATAGTGGATGAACTTCAGAGATCCCTATTGGTTCATGAGGAAAAATTCATGAAAAGGAAGACAGTGATGACCAAGCTCTGAACATCGGCCATGATTTTGGTGGTCGGGGTGGACAAGGACTGGGAAGTGGAGCTTTTCAAGGAATGGGTAGAGGCGGGATCTGGAATAGAGATACATTAGAGTGTTTCTGCTGCCATAAGTTAGGTCACTTCAATTATGTGTGTCCTGAACTCTATGGCAGCAGACTCACTTTACTCATGTTGCTATGTAAAGAAAGTTAGTTCCTAACATGAAGGAAGAAGTCCTTCTCATGTCTTTTACTGAGCAGCTGAGACTGAACCAAAATTACTAAGGAGCCTATTGAATACATCTCAAGAGCATGAAGGGTGGTGGTTCTTGGATTCTGGTTGCAGCAATTACATGACAGAAGAAAAAAGATGGTTTCCGTCACTCAACACTTCTTTACTTGCTCAGTCAAACTAGAAAATGAACAAAATTAATTGTGCAAAGCAAGGGAACTATTAAGCTTAATATTGACAAGATATCTCTAGTTGTACAAGAGGTGTTCCCGGTACCAAGTTTGAAGTCAAATCGGTAGCATAGGTCAGATTCAGGAAAAGGAATTGAATTCCCTTTTCAAACTAAAATGTGCAAGATATTTCATGGTGAAAAGGGCTTCTATTGTAGACAAGGATGAAAATTAACATATTGTTTGTTTTGCACTATGATCTGCCTCAAGAACCTGAAACAAGTGTATGCAGATCAATGATAACTCGGAAGCATAAATGATCATGTGGCACAGAAGGTATGGACACTTGAACTATCAAGGACGAGACTTCAAAGAGGAGAAATGGTGAAGGGATTGCCTGTTATGACGGGCAAAATAGAAGTATGATCAACCGGTTTAATAGGAAAGCAACATAGAACATTCTTTCCCAAGCACAACCAATGGCAAGCAACACAAAAGCTCTAATTGATCCATGATGATCTATGTGTCCCTATCACTCCAGTGTCAAGCAATGGGAGGAGGTACATATTCACCTTAATAGATGACTTTAGCAAAAAATTATAGGTTTACTTTCTAGTTGTAAAGTAAAAAAGCTTTAGGATGTTTAAAGTGTTTAAGGCTCTTGTGGAAAAGGAAGGGAAGGCCACAATCATGTGTCCCAAAACAGATAGGGGTGGAGAGTTTCTCTCAAATGAGTTCAAGGAATTCTTTGATGAAGTGCGAATTAGAAGACAGTCAATTGTAGCTCTTACTCCAAAGAAAAATGGAGTGGCTGAAAGAAGGAAAATGACCATTCTCAACATGGCCAGGTGTATGTTCGAGGACACCAAAGTACTTGAAATCTTCTGGAAATAAGCAGTAAGTTGGACCACACACGTACTTAACAGGATTTCCACAAAAGCTAACAAATGAAGAACTCCATAGGGACTATAGTATGGAACTCCACCTTCAGTAGAACAATTTAAAATATTTGGGTGTGCATCATATGTTCATGCACTTAACCAGTAGAGAAAGAAACTTGAAATTAAGAATACAAGGTGCATCCTCTTTGGAGTGTCTTTTGTATCTAATGCATATAGATTGTATAACCCTAGTACCAAAAATGTTATAGTCAACAGAGATCTATTTTCGATGAGCAATAGTAACCTACAATGGACAATAGAATAGTAACCTACAACCTTGGCTTTTATATATAAAATAATTAATCAATATATTAATGATTAGGATTTCGATACAAAACTCGTGGTAGCGTCCTTGGGAAACGGTGGTATGGAACAACTTAGGATTCTGCCGACAGTATTTCGAGATGGACTGCGAAATGGTGGACAAAGGAGATGATTTGTGCAAAAAACCATAGACGAAAACCTAGTGGATAGTTGTTGCAATAGAGAGTTGAAAACCTAGTAGGCAATGATTGTTATGAGAAACACAATGGACAATAGATATAAACCTAGTGAACAATAGCTAAACACAGTGGTTGTAGAATGGAGAGTGGGGTAAAAGGAGGACTTGAAACTTTCCCACTTGCACTTGGAGAAGTGCGAGAGTCACTAATGAATAGTAACCTACAACCTTGACTTCTATATATTAATAATCACTTTTTTCTCAATTGTTGCATGCGTCCCACTCCGACACAGAGAAATGGCATCGTCCAATAGCTCCTACAGCGCCGACGAAGGCACAACAGCAGCCGCTGCCGATCAAAGTTTGTCGACCTACGAAATCCTTTAGGCATCTCCGTGAAGGATCATCAGTATGAGCTCCCAATCCATTGACCTCTCTTTTGGGAGAAAGTTTTGGTAGATCTTATACCACTCTCTAATACGCCTCTCAAACGAAAGCCAACCAATGGGCTTGTAATTTGCATAGGTCCATTATACCTTGTGCTTTTAATCAACTGTGAATATTGAGGGTCGTGGAGATTCGAACACATGACCACTTAGCCAAATCAGCTCTGATACCATGTCATGAACCAGTTACTCCCAATAACTCGAGTTGTTGGGAAAAGGTTATGCTCGATCTTATACTACTCTCTAACAGATCCAATTCAGAGGGTCGATCACTATATCTCTGAATCGCTTCGCGAGAGGATCTCTCACGAATCCCCAACAACGAGGGGAGATCGAAGATCCCAATTAACTGGTCAAGCATCAGTCAGCACTAAAACAGAAGTGGCAATCCGGATAGATCAATATGTATCGAAAAGTTCCCCCTTTTACAGGGTGTCTCACACGGCAGGAATTCAAATATTGCTCGAAAATGTGTGCGGATCGAGGAGGATCCACGTGATCGACCTTGAGATCCGCAACGAAATGTAGTGGAAGGCCATGATGCAAGCTCTTGCGTTGTGGCTGTGGGACCGCCCCGTGGAGATGCTCAAACTTACGGCCGTGGGGCCCAAAAAGTTGAGGAAGTCGATCGAGAGACGTGGAGATGGCTCGCGAGTTATTTCGGTTGAACGACGTTAAGCGTTACGTTCTGCTTTGGAATCGTAACGCTCGACCACGTTCTGGACCTTCGGGAGGAAATGTTCAATACAGACTCTTAGGAGGCGCTAGTTGTGTACTCCGAGTTCTACCTCAGGAGTCTGATCCCCTGTCTCGACCGGATGGAAGGTCTGATGAAAGTGATACGAGGCCTCAAGCCACGGATCGTGGTTGTGTTGGAAATGGAGTCGAATCACAATTTGACCACGTTGTCGCCTCGATTCGTCGAGGAGCTCTTCTCGTTCGCCTCGGTCCTTGATTGTCTGGAGGTGTGTATGGACGAGGGAGATGCGGAGAGCAGGGCGTTGCTCGAGTCCTTGGTGTTGGGGAGGACGATGAGGAACGTCGTGGTGGAGGAAGGAGATGTTACGTGCACTTCTGCACAAATGAGATTTAGGAAGAAAGAATGAATTTGGAAGAAGAATAATGGAGGAAGGATAGATAGATTGAAGAAGAGAAGTGTTCTCCTTAATGGCGAGAACAGAACCTCTAAACCAATGTTATCAGAACCGAACCGGAGTATGACCCGGAAATGTGAACGGCTCGGTCTTTAGTGGTCCAGCCGGCATTAGACCGTTTAAAAACCGTTTGAGAACCGTTACCTAATAAACAGTCATCTGTATAAATAGTGACACTTCTTAATCATGGTAAATCACAAGTAAATTACATAAACAATGCTCGGATTATCAAGCAGGGTGCATAGCTTTAATACAATAATAATCTCAACTTGGGACCATAGTAAACAATGCTCAAATTATCAAGCAGGACACATGATTACTCTCATACATAAGAGATTGCACATTTTGAAAATTCCTCAGAGCAGCAACACAGTCACAAACACTTACCGGTGCAGGGGAGGGCAGCAGGGGTCGGTGCAACAGGGTCGGTGCAGAGGAGAGGCAGTGACCGGGGAAGGGAAGGGAGACCTCACTGGGGCACTCGCCAGCAGGGGCTCGCCCAAATCGGAGGGAAATGGCGACGGGGAACGGCGCTGGGGAAGATGGCGATGGCGACGGGTCACAGGCGACGGGTCACAGGCGCTGGGGAAGACGACGATGGAGACGGGGAACGGCTGGGGAAGACGGCGATGGAGACGGGAACGGCGACGAGGAGGAATGGCGGCGATGGAGACGGGGAACGGCGACGAGGAGGAACGGCGGCGATGGGATTTGGAGTTCGGAAGCGGCGCTTCCTTGTCTCTACGAAGAAGAAGATGGAAAATTAAAATTGGGAATTAGGGTTCTGCAGACAGCCCGACCCCGACCCACCTTCCCCTTTAATTTTGGGTCTTTTGGTTTTTATTTTTTTTTAATTAAACCAACCGGCCGAATGTAAAAAACCGGACGACCGGCTCGAGCGGTTAACCGCTTCGGCCGCTCGCCGGCCGCCCCAGAGAACCAGTCCGGCTAAATAACTGATTCGAGCCGGTTTTGTGCCCGGTTGGCGGTTTTGGCGGCTCGGCTCAGCTTTTACAACACTGCTCTAAACTTTTTCGAGGAAAGCCAACCTCACAAATTAACATGTAGGTGTGTAAAACCCTTTTTTTTTATTATACTCCTTTGATTATTATTTACCCTATCATCTGCTACCTTAAATAGTAAGGAAACATCTACTACCCCTAACCAACGAAAAACACCTTCCTTAATCCTAGTAACCACTAACTCACTAATTACCCCACTAGTCACGTCATAATCCCTCCCCTAACAACACATAATTATATAATTATTTTTACTAAATAAATGCACATAACAGAAGAGGACAGGTGTTTCACAACGGTGCGGATTGATGTGTGGAGGACGTTGTTTGCAAGGTTTGGGATGGTGGAGTTGAAGCTGAGCGCAATGGTACTGTATCAGGTGAAGCTTAAACTTAAGGAGTTTCCATGTGGGAAGTACTGCAAAACTAGGGTGGATGGGAAGAGCTTGATTGTTGGCTGGAAAGAGACACCAATGATTTCCATCTCTAGTTGGAAGTTCGCTCGGTTGAGGAAGCTCTAGCAGGATGAAGTTTCCGGATGATATTTTGGTTTACCTAATTAGGGTTTCTTCCTTTTGGTTCTTTACTAAAAGTAAATCATAATCAGCTTATGAAAATAGGGACTAATGATAGCAGTGGCGGATCCAGAAATTTTCTATAGGGGTGTCCTCTTTTAAAAATAAATTAAATAAAAATAATTAATAAAAATAAAATCGTAAATTTGAAAATACCTTACTCGTACAGGTTACAAAAGTACATGATTTGTTTTCATATTCGGAAATAATTGTAGAATACACTTGGTGTCTATAGTGTTAAAAAAAATGTCTCTATATACCCTACTAGACAATCATTCACGAACTTATCGCGTATTCGATTTGTAAACTTGTTCTCGATGTAACCAAAGCTGAAAGACTCTTTCAACACTTGTCGTATTAAGGATAGCTTTAAATTAGTTTAATTGTTAGGTTTTTAAAATGATTAGAGATAGAAAATGACATTTTACTATTACATTTTTCAAAATCGAACAACAAATGGGTTGTAGGTCAACGAAAATTAAGTTTATTAATAAGAATAGTGTTCTAGATTTGAATTACCCAATATACCACTTATATTCCTATACACAAATGACAGTAGGATAATCATGTTTTCAAATTTCAGGGGTGTCGCTCACTATCAATATTCAATTATTTTTTTTTTTTGTCCATACGTAAATTACCACCGGGGGTTGGATAATCGTATTCCCAAAATTTAGGGGTGTCACCCCTAAAACCCCCTAGGTCCGCCCCTGAATGATAGTAAGGATTAAGGAAACATTAAGGGCACATAATGGACGAGGATAGTAAAACTTCCAATGAGAGGGCATTTTGGTGTCACAAATGAACAGATTATGATAAGCTGCATCTTTGAAATGAACAAACACATATACTTCAAAATAGTAGAAAATGAAAAATTGCCAAAATCATTCGTCCTACAGGCGGAAGTCAAACTCTCTCCAATAGTCATGTTGTCCAGCGACTCAACGGTTGACCAGTAGTAGGGTTTAAGTACAAGCTACTTTTTCTTCTTGGGCTAGATTTCTTGGCCCATGAGTAACCTCTCCTGAAGAATTACGGGTCGTTTGGTTTTGGTGATAGTTAAATTGATGCATTGTCACTAATGCATGTATAATAATATACATATATATTAGAAAATATGTGAATTGTAGTTTACATCGTTTGGTTTATGTGATAGTTGTTATGGTATTTAAATAAAGTATGTTACTTTTACCCTTTGTTTTTTTATATAAGAAAGCAACACAAAAAAAAGTAGGGGCATAGTTGGAAGAGAAAAAAAAGACTCAACAATCTCAACAATCTCACCAATAACTTGAGATTTAACTATCACTCATTTTGAGTGATAGTTTGTGTCATTTCAAGCAGACAATGCATGTATTGTTTGTTCAAAAACTTCAAAAAATCAATGCATTGTGGACAATGCATGCACTGTAACTATCCCAATCAAACAATCACCAAAACCAAATGACCCTTCATCGCTGTTTATATAGGTTTGCTTAGGTGGCGGTTGGACCCATTGTTGGGCCCCTGCTAGTTCTTGCTTCTGTTTGGGTCGAGTCAACCACCATTAGGCTTCTCTTGGACTCTAATTGTGGTTACCAGTAGGCTTCTCCATCATTGGACCTCATCTTTATCGTGAAAGCTCCATATTCTTCTCTTCGTAGCTCTTGTAGTACTCCGGAGTTGTCCAATGCTTGATCCAAGTCTTCCTAAGTTGTTTTGTACCTTGAAAATCATAAAAACATACCAAGAAAACATGAAAGAGTACAAAAACACATCTTATTTCTTTTAAATGCTCATTGATCAAATAGTTATGGTTATAAAGGGGATGTACTAAAGATGCATTGATAAAAAAAGGGAAAATGTATCAAATATGGGAGTGATAACACTATAAATAGAGTATCATCACGACCCAAGGTGTATGGGCTTATACACGTTTGTTTTACTGTTTTGAGCTTGGTCTGTAACCTTTTTTGTATTCTCGGTTGGATTAGGTTAGCCGTCCAAAGAAGGTACTATACATACCTTCTCAATCTGTAGTATGTATATACTCAAGTATGATGAAACTGGCTCTATCCAGCTTGTGGACTAGCTAACACACACCGTGTTAGTGAACCGCATAAATCAATGTGTTTTTTACTTTCTTGCATTGTCAATTTCTTGATCCGTTCTAACAACACATTCTCAATACAAAAAAATTATTATCTCCATTTTATTTCATGACACTTTTTCCTTCTTCATTTTTTCCACTTCAAGGGGAAAATGATGGGCTCTTAAACTTTTCTCTCGAATTTCAGTATAATAATTGTTATAGGAAGAATATTTATAAACACGACACGATAAAAAAATAATGAACTATATGATTGATTAAACTTTGCAAAGTTTATACTTAACTAACAAAGTCATAAACAACTATATCATGCAGCACAAACGAAAAACAAATATATATTCTCAACATTTCGGTATATTTTTCCTTTTGCTCTTTATGGAAAAGTGTTAAACAATCAGGACATACCTCGAGCATTAGTAACATGAGAAGAATTTTCATAAGTCTAGCATAATCATACCGTTGGGCAAAGTATTTGACAGAGCTTCGTGCTCATAACGTATTATGAAAATGATAGGAAAGAAGAACGAAACAAGAGATGAGGGAGAAATTTTATTATTCATTCAATTCCTTTGTATAAATATGTAATTTGGCATTACGTCATAGGAAATCAAGAGATTGATTACAATAATATCTCTCCCTAAATCCTATTCACCCTAATCTCTCGTCTCTTCTCTCTCAAATCAGGTTGCCAACCACTCTCTCTTCTTCTACCCTACTTCCCCAAATCTCTATTTCCTTTCTACACGAATCCCTAAATATTAATCAATCCCCAGTCCCACGAACATTTCGATAACATCCTAGAAAAAGGCTTCTATCAATACAAAAATTTCTTGGCCGGAAAATAGTTGGCAACCCTTTCATGTGTTCGTTCGATCAAAGAGTTAATTGGTACGAAATACAAAAGGATCAAGTGTAGCTAGAGGGCATACATCAAATAATTTACATCCTTCAAATCTTCACCCCCTTAATCTCACTCAGAAAACATGAAGAGAATAAAATTAATTGACTATTCATGATAAGCAATTATGCATAGTCAGCAGGGGCGAATCCAATGTAGACGCCGGGAGGCCATGGCCCCCCGGGTAGTTTGATAGTCATGTCTAAAACTAGGTATATGCAACTTTGCAACATAAGATGTAATTGTAGCTGGACGTAAGAAGTTCACAATTTCAAACAGGTGGTTGTGAGTTTGAACCTGGAGCTTGAAACAAAGCTTAGCATTTTAGTCATTGGTTTTTTTTTTTTTTTTTTTTTTTGATAGCAAATCTGTATTGAAAACTTAAACAAATTCAGTGACTACATTGGCATCTTTGTCTAATTGAGGTAGTAAAATGAGCGGAGGACGGTCAAACCATATCTCAGATTCCTCCATCCTACACCGCACTCGGGCCATCTGATGAGCGCATGCATTTCCAGCCCTCCCCCAAAATCTCCAACTGACATTTCCTTCCACCGCCCTCTCTCTGATTTCATCGCAGATTCCCCCAATTTCCAAATTCGTTGCCTCCTTCTTATCCAGCTTCTGTATCAGAGATTTACAATCCGTTTCCACCAGCAAAGGCAAAAAATGATTGTTCTTCGCCATTTTCAAGCCCCACAGGAAGGCAAGAGCCTCTGCCATTTCCGGCTCCCATCGCGTCCTCGTCCGATGCACCGCCGCCATCTGGAAAACCCCTTCCTCATTTCTAATCACCATCCCAAAACCCGTTCCATCCTCTCCTAGCACCGCAGCGTCCGTATTCATTTTGTACAGGCCATGGGGTGGTGGTTCCCATCCAATTCGATTCTGCACCGGCTTCGGAGCGTTTCCCTGGTTTTGCAGCTGCTGATATTCCTCCAGGTAATTCTGTGCTCTCGCCACAACCTCCCACTCTTCTAGCTTAGGATTATTGAATAGATGGTTGTTCCTCTCTTTCCAGAGGAACCATAGGGTTATCAGAACCGAAGACAATTCCTCATCGGTTGTTCCTTCCATCAGATTACATAACCATTCTTCACATCTCTTCCCTTCTCCCAGTTGAAAATATTTTGCCAATAAACTCGGCCTCCACACCCTCCCTGCCCAGTCGCAATCCCGTGTAATAT